CTTAGCCCCCCCCCACCCCCCCCCATCCCCCCCCCCCCCCCCCCCCCCCCCCCCCCCCCCCCATGTAGTTCTCCAAAACCCCGCCACCTCTCCCACCAATATATAACCTACATATAACACACCCCACTTTCCATCAACCCCCCCCCCCCCTCCCTTATCCACCCATAATAACCCCTCACATCCCTCCCCCCCCCCTTCCAAACCCACCCCCCCCACCCATATAAAAATCCCCATAACACGCGTCCACCACTCATTTATAATTCTCTCAGCCACCAACCTTCCCCCTATCCCCGAAAATCCCTAATTCCCTCCCATAAATCATAACTCAATTCACGATGCCCCATATAACATAAACCACCCTCTATTAACTCCCACACCCCAAACCTCACCTTATCTTACCATTTCACCCAATCTAATCGTCCGTAACACCCCCTGATAGACACAACTTCACCTATGTGTCCACATTTTCAAATCTAACCACAGCACACACACAAAACCACCACCACCCTAAATAATGAATAATCTCTCTAACCTCTTCCTCCAACTCCCCTCTACACCCCAATGTCACCAACTCCCCTTTATCTCCCCATCCCCCCACCCACATTGACTGGCCCTTCCCAACTACCATCCCTTAATATCTATGACCCCCAGTATAACGATCTATATACCAAATAAAAAACCCATACCACCACCCCCCATTAACCCCCTCCCCCGATCACATTTCATCCTTTACATTCCACACCCCCACCCCCCTCTACATCAACCCTCCCCCTAACCCGCCCCAAACATAGAAATTCATTTTCCCTACAAATAACCTTACTCCTCACATATCCCCCATATCTACCATCTAAATTTAAATACTTCCCACCATACCTCATAATATCTCCCCTAAACATTCCCCCACCTAACTTTATTGCTATAACCATTACCCCATCTTTAAAAAACCCCCAATCTTCCCCCCAACCTCTTCTACATTCTATCAATGCAATACCCCATTAACCATCTCCCCCAAATCCACCCTCCTCCTCCATCCACCCCCCCCCCTTAGACATAAATCAAACACCCCCCTCCCCCACCATCCCCCCATCATACTCTCCCCCCAGAACCATCACATACCCACCTCCACCCCCACCCCATACACATCACCCAATCCATCGTCAACTATCATTATTCCCACCACTAAACCATCCTACCTGCTATATCAAACACCTCCACCCTTGTCACCCCAACACACAACACAAAAAAATCCTATCCTCCCCAATATAAATACCTACATAATTAATCTATCCAACCCCTAACCTCACATATTCCATGTCCAACTATTTGCCCCACCTCCACCCTCATACGATCCACCTCCACATCACTACCCCTCCCTCCCCCCCCCACTACACCAATCTAATAACCAATCAATTCCTCCCAACCCATTACATCAACGTTCATCTAACCATAATGAATACCATTACATCAACATATATCACAAACTAAGATAACTCATTACATCAAAAATTCTCACATACATAAATTCCAATTCCCATTCCCCTCCCCCCTCTAACTCATAACTCCTCCACTCATCCCCCCCCCCCCCACTGTCCCCCTTAAACCCCCCATACATCCCATAAAAAAATCTTCCCCTACCACACTTCCATTCATCCCCCCCACCTCCCACTAGACCCACCCCCTTCGAAGACCCCACACAACCTCAGAAATCACCATGATATACCCCCCCCCGTACCCCCCATGCATCCCCTCAAATCAGTACCTACCCCCACCCCCTACCATATTCTCTAATAACCAATCAATTCCTCCCAACCCAAGTAGTAATCCATCATTCTCACCAAACTCATCACCATTAATCCAACATTCTCACCTAGAAAGACTGCATACACCCATTACATCAACATTCTCACATACCCATAAAAGAGAGACCACAATCCCATTCCCCCCTCCCCCACCCACCCTTAAATCCTCCCTTCATCGCTCCCCAATAAACGCAACATACTACTTAATCCATCTCCCTATTATTCACTGTCCTGAAATATTATACTCCCAATTAGTATCTCCATCCAGACCATCTTCAACCATCCACACATAACAGTCCACTCCCCCCATTCTCACCAACCCCACACTCACATCAACCCCCTCTATTCTTACATAATTCCCCTTTCATATTGTCATCACATCTTCCAACCACCCCACACTTCCAATTCATACAAATCTCCCACTACACCCCGATATCCCCCCGATAACTCAACCATACCTCCCATCCTCTCATCCTATCCCCCCCCCCCCCACCCCCAAACCCAATATACTCTCCCCCCCACATCTACCCTACCCCTACCACCCTCCAAAACACTTCCCCATCACCCCTACACATCCACCCCCGCCTTCCCATAATACTCCCACAGCCAAACACACACCCCCATCCCCCTCCCAATACCCTCTACCCCAATATCCCACCCATATCTCTAAGAGAGACAGCTCATCACCCTCCCCTCATACCACCATCTACCAACCCACTTAACCCCCACTCCTTGTCTTTCCCCCAGCCTTATGCCCTAAATTTATAATATAAACTATCCTTTCCACACCTAATTCACCAGATTCATTTATCACAGGGTCCAATCTCTGTGTCCTCACAGCCATCGCCCCCCCAGCCCTACCCATAACATTGGGATGCGTCTTTCCTCCTCATTCATGTCTCATTCATTCATAAATAACAAAAACTTAAACCATCAACATTCCAATCCCCAAAACACCCCTTCTCCCAAACTACCATTAAATCTTTCATATTCGCACACATCTTCTAGCTCCAAAAATCCATAAATACCATTACCAATAACATCCAAATACCTTTCCACTCTCCCACTCTTAATCCCTTAAATTTCCCAAACAACAACCATATCCCCCTAAACCAATTCCAACCATCCAATCATAATGCCTCCAAAACCCCAAATCCTTAACACCCATCTTTAAAATCTAAATCCACCAAATAAACATCTCCCATCCGCCCCCCCCCTAATATCCCCATCTCCTCACATCCTCCATCACCACCCCTGAAATGTCCCTAAATGTACTACATAGTCCAATACCCCCCCGCTCTCACGACCTACACACGATAAACATATCCAAAACCACCCCTAAGCACAAACACACAATCCACAACCCCCCCTCACCCCAATAAGATCAAACCCCACACCACCCATCAACTTTTACCTTATAAATTCACTATCCTAGCAGATCGATCACATCAGCTAATACCCACAAGCTTATACGACTACTGCTCTACCCACCACAAATCTCCTCCCCCAGACCAACTAACCGCCTGTCCTGAATTCCGAATGTACCAACAATTCGCGTAAACGGATAACGCACCCAATTATCCTATCTAACCTTCCCAAATACCCCCAATCCCCACAATATACACTCTCACAAAACCCAAATCACCAATAAAAATAATAAATGTAAGAAGCCATCGCACCTACACCCCCCCAACCTACCACAAACGCTCTCCATCCCGCCTCCAACTTATCCGCCCCCAATCCCCCCCAACCCCTAACGCCACCCAAACTCCCCCAATACCTACTAAGACCTCCCTCCCATCTACACGCCTAACATAAACCAAACATGCTATCCCCCCCCCCCCCTGTCTCCCCACTGATCCTATTCCGATCCCAATTCAATTACCCCCACACTAACCCCTAAATAAATCCCACTACCCCACTCCACGATAACCCCCTATCCAGTATAAAACCTCCACTTAATCAATCATATCCCTTCCTCCGCTCATTCCCATTGCCTTGCCTACACCTCCCCCCAATCCCCACAGAGCCCCAAATCCCCTTCCAACTCGACCCCCCCCGCACATCCTCCAAACGAAAATCCATCACCCCCCCCCTACTTCCCCCTCGAGTCACATATTCGATCCTCCCCCTACTTCCAACCCCATCAAACCCCACACCCATCCCTCATCCTTTGCACACCCCACCCTTCTCCCTCTACCACATCCCCCCCCCCCCCCTCATACTAACACATCCTAACCACCCTCTACTCATCATCACCATTTCCACAATTCATCCACACATCACCCTACAACACCAATAAATCTCATCCCTAAATTCTTTCCTTCCTTTACAATTACTCAAATCCTATTACATCACCACCAACCCAAACCCACACCAATCAATCCCCTATCACCAATCTCATAAACCCTCAATTTCCCACACAAAAATACACCCTAAGCCAAAACCCCAACACCCCCCCCCCTACACCCCCATCCTTCAAACCCCAACAAACCCCCCCCCCTACACACTTCCCATCCATTATATAACCAAATACAACCATTAACACACATATTCAAACCCCCTCCCCCATCTCCACACCACCCACACACACACACCACCAAAACCACCACCACCCTAATAATAATGATCTCTGCTCATCACACCCCAAAACAAAAAAATACGTGATCCACCCCCCACCCCCTATTTCCCCCACTATCCTATTCCCCTCCCAATAACCATCCATAACCCCAATATAACCCCCCCCACCCCCCCATCCCCTATTTTCACTATTCCACACAACAACCTTCCCCAAACCCAAACCCTATCCTCTCCACCCCTACCCACTCTCCTAACCCTATACTCATCACCAAATCCATCACCCCCCATAATACACCCACCCATCATCATCATCACCCAATCCATCCCCGATATATACCACCCCATAATCTAAAAACACCATCCCATCAGCAAATCACTACACCTTTAACATAAACCTCCCTCTCTCGCACCAGATGTATCCTCCCCCTTCCCCCCCCCTGTCCTTACCGCTCACCCATAATATTCTCTAAAAACGCCCACCTTAAATTCAACCCCCCCCTTCCAAAAACCCCCTCAAACCCCACACCCTTCTCCCAGATCCCTCCTAACACAATCCCATTGACTTTACAGCCTGTGCCCACATCGCCCCAACACCCCCTACCCTTCTACCCCACCCCCAATGCCACCCCACCTCTAACCCCGTTCTCGCATCACCTCTCTTCATCCCCTCTTCCCCATCAACTACATTCATCCCATCATCCATCGCCCCCCCATAGATCGCTATTTTCATTATGTATAAACACTTTATCGCCTCATTATAATCAAAACCTCCCCCCCACACCCTAAAATCCAATATTCCGCACCACACTGAAATTCTAAAATTAAACATCATCCCCTCCTCCAGATCAACAACCCACGCATAGAAATTATATACACCCGCTTAATTAATATTCCCACCCAAGACCCGTCTTCCCAAAAACATTCACACAAATCTGTCTCCCTCCCTTCCCAAAGAAACAATCCCGACACCCCACCCTTCCCATAAAAAATATCCCCTTATCCCCCTCATCTAATAATAACATTCCATCCACACCCCCCCACCCCCTATATAACACATTAACACCCTCTATCACCATGAAGAATTCCACAATTAATCACACAATCACCCTACAAGTACCAATAAATCTCAATAAATTCCTATGGAACCCCCCGTTCCTTTACATACTCAAATCCTATTACATCCCACCAACCCCCAAACCACACCATCAATCCCCCCCCCCCCCCCCCCCCCCTAGTCACCAATCAATATAACCCTCAATTTCCCAACACAACCCAAACCCCCCCCCTAAAGCCCCAACACCCCCACACCCGAAACCCCAAACCCCAACACTCATTATACCCCAATAATAATTAACCATCCCCCGCCCCCCACCATAAACACAACCAACATAAATCCTCATCCATCTTCTCCCATAATCCTTAACCCCTTTATACCTCCACCAAACTCCCCCTTCCATAGCACTACCCCTATTACCAAACCTACCCACATCTCCCTTAACCCTACCAACACCACAAACATAAACCATTGGGTACCCCCCCAATGACCAGACCGCCATCCAGAAACCCCCCCCCCCCCATCATATGCCATTTGAACTCCCCTCCCCCTCCAACCCCCCCCCAAAACAGCCCAACCCATCCTCTATTCTTCGATCCATCTTCTTCTTCGTTCCAACTAAAATCCCAAACACATCCCGTAAAACAACTTGTATCAACATACCCCCCCCATCCCCAAAATCTATATACACAAAACACCACGCCCATAAAATAGAGTATACAAAGTCCCTCAACGTGATCCTTACTTTCCAACTTGCCAAAGACCCCTAAAAGACATCTATCAAATATCCAAACACCTCCAACCCCAGAAACCCAGCCCATTATTATCCAAACACCCAACAAGCCCGCCAAAAACCCCGCTCCATTATTGTTGTCCAAACAAGGCTCCCCCACACTCATCCCACTCCCCCCCACCTTTCACCCATCCACAACGTACCAACAACACAATCCCTTACCACATACCAATCAACATTCTACCACTCCACAACCTAGCAAAACCCATACCCCCCATCGATTCACAAATCCTACCCATCACCAAAGAAGACAAAAAAAACTAAGAAATACCCACCCAAAACACTAGCACCCAAAAACCTCCATGAATAAGTCCTACCCCTGAAAAACCCTTAAAATTGCATTATACAATTCTCCTTACATGATTCAACCGTAGACCAAAAACCACCCTCGTCCATCAGCACCATCCGACCCGTACATCGTACCCCGTCCTCCATAACTGGGTCGGGGGGAGTATGGCATTCGCTCAGCCCCCAATCACGAAGATCACCATCCCCCGGCATCCAGATACCCACTGCAAAAAACATCCTATCTGTGTGCAGATTGAGAGAATCCTGTTCCTTCTGACCGAGAGGAAGACTCAGTTGACATCTGTTTCTGTTATCAGCGCATCAGCGCTCACCAGTATTTACAATTTGAGACTCTTTACAGAGGCGGTGTGCATGTGAGAGAAAAAGGCAGAGGTTTACACGGCAGTCCTGCTGAGTCATCTGAGTGGATCTGTTCCTATAAAAGCGGTGAGGAGCTGGTCTAGGGACTGCATAGTTGATCGACATCATGGAAGTGAAGAGGTGTTGGTGTGCAATTGTGCTCTGCTGTCTGATCAGGATGCTGAAACTTTGTGACAGTGAAGGGACCTCGCATAGTCAAAAGATCCAGTCCAGTCCTGAGAGTGGTAGAAGGCCTCATAGCAGCCTCAGCCCTGTCCATCAGGACCCTCCACGATGGTGCTGCGAGAGCAGAGCGCCGCGATGGCCGAACTGAGAGTCAGGATCCAGCAGCAGCAGTCACACACCCCAGGTCGACTCAACACATCTCTCCCCCCACTTCAATAACATGCATTAAATCAATTAAATCCTCCTTAACTCACTATTCATTATTATGGTTCATAACCCCTAACACAATACGTCCCAACCTTCCATATTCACCCTCCAGCTCCCATATATCATAACAATTTCACCTCCTCCCCCATATATATCACACTGCGCTCCATCCGCATCCCGATACGATCATTCCACACATACCACACGTCCAGGACCATAGAATTGTTCCATACTCCACTATGATCTATTATACAATTATAGAACCTAATCCCCATTAACAAATATTAAAAACCATGGAATACAAGTATATAAAGTGTATAACAAATCTCTTCACTACATTATATCCTCAAATAACAAACATTTCATTTAGTAAAACCATATAAGCTGTTAATTCATTAAGAATAACATCAAACTTGGGTAACTTGACGCCGTACACAGCATCCAACAGACACTATCACCAGAAGCATACCAGTGTATCCTCAAAAGGAGCTCCCGAGCCCGACAGTGAGCATGTCCAGGCGCTCCGCAGCATACCAGAGAAGTCAGCTTCCCCTACAATTCCCCCCCCCACCTCTTACCAATGAAAATAACCAAACCAAAAACATCTCCCTCTAATATTATTCATCCCTACTATATAGAATATACCCACACACTTCCCTTCCCCATCTATCCCCTATATCCTTCACTTCCCCCCCCTCTCGCATCCCCCCCCATCTTACCCAAACCCTCTCTTCTCCTTATTCCATTCTCATCACCAACCACATCCAGAACCACTCTTCTTACCCACCCCTCCCCCACCTTCCAAACCCTAACCTATAAAATCATTCATCTTTACCAACCTACCTAATTTCACTCCCCTAGCAAATATACCAACATAACAAATAATCTCCCCACCCCCCCCACCCCAAATAAAACAACCTACTCATCAAAACTCCCCCCATATACACCAAGAATGTCCCCTATTAAACACCTCCACAAACACATTCCACCTTATCCCCCCCCCACTTACCCTAACCCACCACCCCCACCACTTATAACCTCACATATAACACACCCACTTTCAATCCACCCCCCCCCCCCCCCTTATCCCACCCCCAATAAACCCTCACATCCCTCCCCCCCTCCCAAACCCACCCACCCCACCCATTTAAAAATCCCATAACATTCCACCACCTCATTTAAATTCTCTACCCTCACCAACTCCCCTAATGCCATAAAAAAATCTAATTCCCCATAAATAAACTCAAACCCCCCCCCATACCCCACCACCCTCCTATTCTGATCTCCCCACACCCCAAACCCTACCCGCCTTACCATTTCACCCCATTCTAAATCATAACCACCCTATAACATACTCCTATACTCACATTTTCAATCAACATGATCACAAACAAAACCACCCACCACTAATTAATAATTATCTCTCTCACCTCTTCCACCACTCCCCCTCTACCACCCCATCACCCCACTCCCCTTTTCTCCCCATGCCCCCACCATTCCTCCCCTCCCAACTACCATCCCCTTTTCATCTATCACCCCACTATACTAGCATCCCAAATAAAAACCCACACCACCCCCATTAACCCCTCCCCCTAATCCACAATTCATACTAATTCCACACCCCCCCCCCCCTTACAGTCCAACCCTCCCCTAACCCCCCCCCCCAAACATAAAATTCTTTCCTTACAAATAACATACATCACATATCCCCCATATCTACCCATATAAATTTAATACCTTCCAACCCTACATAAATCTCCCCCCACACATCCCCATCAACTATATCTATAACCCATTACCCTCTTTAAAAAAAACCCCCCCCCATCTTCCCCCACCCTCTTTATCTCCTCCCCAATACCCCCCCCATTCCCCAATCTCCCCCAAATCCCCCACCCCCTTCATTCACCCCCCCTATTTATAACATAAATCAAACACCCCTCCCCCCCACCATCCCCCCCCCATCCATTAACTCTCCCAAGCCAAACCATCCCCACTCCACCACCCCCCATCCCAATCCCTCCAACTAAATAATTCCCACCATTACTCATAACTCCATACCTCTATCCAACACCTCACCCACACCCCAACACAACACACAAAACCTATCCTCCCAATTAAACCATACACTAATTTTTCTCCAACACCCATTGCATCACCTATTCCCACTTCCACATCATTCCCCCTTTCCCCCCCCCCCCCTCCAGACCTCACCTCCACTTCACCTTCCCCCCTCCCTCCCCCCCCCCCACTCCCCGACGAATACCCCAATATAATATCCCAAATCGAATTTATCTCCAGACGGATGTACATCAGAATTCATACATACTCATCACCATTACATAACATTTCTCACCTAACTCTCACACATTACATCAACATTAATCACATACATAAATTCCACAATCCCATTCCCCTCCCCCCCTCTAACTCATAACTCCTCCCACTCATCCCCCCCTCCCCCTTAAAAACCCCCATCCCATAAAACAATCTTCCCCCTACCACACCTTCCATTCATTCCCCCCCCCACCATACCCCCCAAGAATACTAACCCGAGTTCACACCACCTCACCAACCTAACCCCAAATCTACGAGTGTGTATCCCCCCCCCCCTGCCTACCCCCATACCCCTCAAAGAAATGACTACCTCCCCCACCCCCCTTACGCTCTACTCTAATAACCAATCAATTCGTCCCCCAACACCATGTAAAGCAAATCATTCTCCATCCCCATAGTAACTATCACCATGTTACATCTAACATTCTGCATCCCAACTCATCACCCATTACATCAACATTATACCATACCCTAAATCAACAATCCCATTCCCTCCCCCACACACCCTAACTACTCCGCAGTCATGCATCCCCCAATGCAACCCCAACATCTACCATATCCTATTATTGTCACTCCTATAATCAGTAATCTCCGCCAAATTGTGTTATCTCCATCTCATATGTTTCACCAACATCCACCACATAACTTCCCCCCTCAGTTAGTGAGACTCCACACCGAACTCGTATTGCCTCTTCTAGTATTGTCTCTATTACATGCGCGAGATTTGCGATGTCCTTTCATAATGTGCAATCACGTTCCTGTTGACCCCATAGAACCCCCACGACATATTCGCCAATTCATAACATATTCCTCATTAAGCCCATAATCCTCCTGTAACCTCTGACCCTATCCTCCTCCTCTCCTTCACTCATTTTGTAAACTATCCCGTGCCATCCCCCCCCACCCCAGAAACCCATGATTATATTACCTCCCCCACATCTGCCCTGTCCCCTGTCACCACACACACCTCCAAAACACTTCACCCGCACCCCTACACATCCATACCCTGCATTGTCATAATACTCCGTCTCCATGAAGCCAAGAACACAGACACACCCAGCCTCCCTCGCAATTCCCCTCTTACCGGAAGATCAATCACACATATCTCTAATACCAATTGCCATCTCCCCATAACCCCTCCCCCCTCATGACCAGCGCTATCTATGATTCAACCCACTTGCCTCCTTCCCTCCCCCCACCCCTGTCTTATCCCTATTTCATAAACAATCCTAGCACGCTCTCGAAACCTATATACACCTATTCGCGTTATACCTATCCAATTTATCCCTCACTGCTACTAGCCCCCCCTCCCTCCCCTCCCCCATTAGACATCCTTTTCCATCCTACATTCATTTGCCAATTCTTCATTCATAAATAAACAAAAACCTTGCAACCATCCCATACCTTCAACCAAACCCAATCGCAAACCCATTAGATAAAACTGTTATGAGTATTCCAAACATCTTCTAACATCAAAAAACCATCAAATACGATTAGACCCCCAAGCCGATTCGACAAATAGCTTTCCATACTCTCCCCTCTTAATGCCTTACCTAGTCCAAGAAAACAAATCTTCCCCTAAGACAGATCCACGTGTGAATCAAAATCCTCCAACCCAAAATCTTAACACCCCAGTCTTAAAATCCCCTAGAAGCCGGACGAGAAAATCCACTGTGTCCGCTCATCCACCCCCCCTAGACAATCCCATATGTCCCTCCATCTCGCATCCCCCCCCTAAATCCCATATTCATCCATCTCCCATTCCCCCCTCTCACCTCCCCCCATACCCTATCCAACAACCCCACCCTCCCCAAACCACAATCATACACCCCCCTCCCCCCCCCCCCCCATAATATCAAGACAGACCCACCAACCACCCCCACCCCCCATATACCTTTAATGTCATCCCATCTTCCCCCCTATTAATCCCCACATACATTAAGGACCACCCTACCCTACACACCTACCAAATCCCTCTCGACCACCCAACTAAGCCCGGTCTCTATCATCGCCTCATCTATACTCCCAACAATCCTACAGACGACCCCCCCATACCCCCCAATTAGTCATCCTGATCTAAATCCTTCCCCAAATCCCTCATAGCAACCCTCTAAACTCTCCTACCCAAACACCATAAACATGCGCCATCCCCCCCAAAAGACCAACACAGCACCCTATCACCAATGTATCATCATAACACCCCTATCCCCCCGAATATCCCCGAAACCCCCCCCAAACCCTCCCCCCAAAGAACCTACAACCCCCACCCCTCAGCACCCCCATCACAAAAAAATAACCCAACCCCCCCCCCCCCCTATTTGACCCGCCACTATGCCTATTCCGATCCACAAAAAATTCAGCAAACCCCACCCCAAAAAATTTCCCAAACCGTCAAACCCTCAAACCCCAACCACTTGTACCCATATCCCCGCCAACCAAATCCCATATTCCTTCTGAACACCGTTCCCCAATCCCTCACACCCTATCCCCTTCCCCCCTACCCCCACCACCCAAACAACAACCGTCACTTCCCTCCATCACCGTGTCTCATCCCCTCCCCCTCTTCCCCGATCACCCGCCCCCCACATTAATCTCCACAGTACACTCACCACCCTCATCTTATTGTCTCTACATGTAAACCATATTTAGAGGACAAGCGAAGAAGGCCCCCCGACCGTACTATTCCCATCCCCCCGCTACTTGCTCAAACATTCCCTAGTCCCGCCTCCTTTTGCCCTCCAAATGACCCCCTCATACACCCACGCCCGCACTTCATCACACCCTAAATGCCCCCCGAGTGTCCATTTCTCTCCCCCCCCCCCCCCATATTCTCTCCTGTATACAGATTACGTCATCCCCGCCCCCAGCCCACCAAAAAGTTCCCCCCCATCCCCCCTCACATAAATTCCTAGACCCTCCCCCCCTGCACCACCCCATCCGCCCCCCACCCCCCCCCACCCTCATACTAACACATCGTCTAAATCGCCACCCCCTCGATCTCACCATTTCCCACAATTCATCCCACACAGAGCCATGCACCTAGACCCCCAACCACCAATAAATCTCATCCCTAAACTTCTTTCCTTCTTTAAATTACTCAAATCCATTACATCACCACCCCCAACCCCCCAAACCCAACCCATCAATGTCCCCCCTAACATCCCACCGCCCTAATCTCATAAACCCTCAATTTCCCACGCTAAATACACCCCCCCCACCCCACCCTCAAACCCCAACACCCGCCCCTACACCCTTCCCATCCATTATGTAACCCAATAGAACCATTAACACACATGCAGACCATAGAGAAATATCAAACCCCCTCCCCATCTTCCACACCCCCCCTCTTCTTGATTCCCAAACACCTTCTCCATTCAACCCTCCCCTTGATCAACTACAAAAACCACCCACCCCTACCAAACTTCCCCCCCAATTCACCAACCCCGTACCACCCCATCCCAACCATTTCCATCTAAATCATCCCAGTCCTACCACGTTAGTGCCTCCAACCAACAATCAATCCCCCCAAAACCTAAAAAACAAATAACCTGCCTACTAAACCCAGAACACCCCCCCCCCAAACCAACACCCGCATACCCCCTCAATATACCCCATCCAATAATTATCATACCGTGTTCCCCCCCAAACCCCATACGCACGCATAACACACGTATAACCACGCACACTAACTCTCAATATAGAAATAATCTCCTCTCACTCACACCCCAAAACCAAACAATTACCTATCCACCCCCCCCCACTATTCCGCCCCCTCCACGATCCTATTGCTCACGATGACCCCATCAATAAATTCATACCAGAACCCGCAAAAACCCCCCCCACACCCACCACATCCATATTCGATCCCCTGTACAACATGAACTGTGCCCAAAACCAAACCCCTGATCCTGTCACCCACCATACCCAGCCTAACCCTATAATCACGAGTTATGATCAACTCCCCACTGATAATACCCACCATATACTATCATCATCACACACGTACATCCCAATATAAGTGACCACCCTACACATGTACACCTCCCCCATCACACCATACGAGATCAATAGAACTGACCTTTAATACATAAACCCCTCCCAACTAGTCGTCCATAATCCTCCCACATTCGCCCCCCCCTTCCTTACTCAACATAATATTCTCCTAAACCGCTCACTAGTTAAATTGTCACCCCCACCCTAAAACCCCCTCAATACCCCCCCACACCCACTTAAGCCTCCACCATTTCCCTGCCTAACATAGCCAATCCTAATTGCTTCTACTACCTCAACCCTCCATATCATCACCCCACCGCCTCTCTCACTTCCCACCCAGCACCAAAACCACGCTACCCCCCCCTCTCCTACATCACCTCTCATCCCTCCCTATTCCCCCCCATCACCTGCACATGTTCCATCACATCCTCACCCACTGTCATGTCGCTTATTCTTCATTATATCAAACCTTTATCATCTCCCGATAAATCAAGATGCTCCCCCCGCCCACATCCTAAAAATCCCACATATTCCCCCCCTTAGAATCAGTATATGCATATCCCCATGACCCAAGACAAGCACCCCCATGATTTCATATACTCCCCTTATTGCAATAATTCCCCCCAAACCTGTCGCTCAAGAACATTCAACAAAATCTCCAATTCAAACAAAATTCGTGCCCATACAACGCACCCTTCCGTTAAAATATCCTATCCCCCTCTCAGTCAATATAACTACCACACTTTCCTCCACATTCCCCCCACATCCATACTAACACATCCTAACCACCCTGAAGTAAGACCATTTCCAACCATTCATCCCACAAGATACCTAACAATACCATAATCGCAACCCTAAATTGATCTATGCTTCTTTACAATTACTCAAATCCTATTCATCACACCCAACCCCAATCCCCACAGCAGAATCAGATCACCCCCCTATCCCACCCATCTCATAAACCCTCAATATCCCACAAACCCAAACCCCACCCCCTAAACCCAACACCGACCCACACAACCCCCCAACCCTCAATAATACCCCCAATAATAATTAACCCATCCCCCCCCACCCATAAACGACAAAACATAAATCTCCGTCATATCCCTCCCATAATCACTTAACCCTTTTTGCTCCCCAAATCCCTTCATAACACTACCCCTATACAAACCATCACCATCTCCATACCCTACCACACACACACAAGAATAACCCATTTACCCCTACCACGACCCCTGCCCAGAACCCCCATCGTATCCCTGTAGGATCCAATACATCAAAAAACCAAAGACCACCCAATATCAGTATACTCATTATTCTTCCATCCCCTATTATTCCTTCGCTACTAAAAACCAAACACATCAACTAAAACAAACATAAACCCTACCACCCCATGTCACCCCCGAAATCAGAATCTACAAAAAAACCACCCCCCCCAGCAAAATCAAATTTACAGACAACCCCTCAACCCTTGCGCTTACTTTCCAGTCACAAAACCCTAAAACATTGCTCAACTTATCCAGAACCAACCAACCCCAAAAACCACCAATAATTGAGTCCAACACCCGCCAAACAACCCCAAACCAAACCTTATTTTTCATAATCGTCCCACAACTAATCCATTACATGGCACCCCTCCATTAAAGCCCATCCACAACTATACAACAACAAACTCCCTACAAGACATGAGCCTGTTCACATGTATAATGTACATCCTCCTACCCCCAACCATACAACCCTGCGTGGGAGACTATTGCCCTAACACAATCCATCCAATATAGTCCTCCAACAAAACAGACAAAAATACAACGCACAGACTATGTCCGACACCGACGCCATGTGTAAAGCATTGTAAATTTAATCCTTTAAGCATTAATCCGTAAAAATAACAAACATCCATCCATCCATCCATCCATCTTCTTCCCCTTCATCCATTTCTGGGTCGGGGGGGTGGCAGTCAGAGCTGCACCCAATTCACTTAGCACCAGCCACTGATCCACTGATATTCCTCTGCAATAAACATCCCAACTGTGCACCTGGAGTTTTCCTGTTCCTTCTGACCGAGGAAGACTCAGTTGACAGCTGTTTCTGTTATCAGCGCATCCAGACGCTCACAGTATTTCACAATTTGACTCTTTTCAAGGCGTGTGCATGTGAGAGATAAAGCAGAGGTCTACACGAGTCCTGCTGAGTCATAGACGTGGATCTGTTCCTATAAAAGCGTGAGGAGCTGGTCTGGACTCATAGTTGTCGACACAATGGAAAGTGTGAGTGTGTGGTGTGCACTGCTGCTCTGCTGTCTGTCAGGAGCTGAACTTGTGCACAGTGAGACCAGTGCTCAAAGACAGTCCAGTCCTGAGAGTGTGAAGGCCTCAGAGCAGCCTCAGCCCTGTCCATCAGACCTCCACGCTGTGCTGCGAGAGATGAGCGCCGCGTTGGCCGAACAGAGAGTCAGGATCCAGCAGCTGCAGGCTCACAACCAAGGTCAGACTCAACACTTCTATCCACCACTGCTCATGACTCAGAAGGTAATCTATGTTTGCATCCGTGCTTCTAACGTGTATGTTTGGGGCTGTTCCAGTTCAAGAAGCCAAACTGACAGAGCTCCAGAAGCAGACCAGTGAGCAGCTAAAGGAGCTCCAGAAGCAGACCAGTGAGCAGCTAAAGGAGCTCCAGAAGCAGACCAGTGAAGTGCTGCCAATCAAGGAACAACTCACAGGTACTTTGTATTGTTCTTACTCAAATCTTGTGCAGTTTGACTTGTTTTTACCATTAGCAAAGTTAATATTGTTTATTCCTTGGTAGTAAATGGTTTATTGTGTTTCATCAATTCCTTATAGACTTTTTCCTCAATAAAACATGTCATTGTGTAAAACCTTTTGCTGTGTTTGCATCTATGCTTCTAACATCTAACTCTGGGTCTGTTCCAGTTCAAGATTCCAAACTGACAGAGCTCCAGAAGCAGACCAGTGAGCAGCTAAAGGAGCTCCAGAAGCAGACCAGTGAGCAGCTACAGGAGCTCCAGAAGCAGACCAGTGAAGTGCTGCCAATCAAGGAACAACTCAGAGGTACTTTGTTTTGTTCTTTCTTTTTCCTGAGCAGAGTTCTGAGGCTGACAGTCGTGTGTCTTGTGTCCATCTTAGGCCAGGCCACTGAGCTGAACAGTGTGAAGGCTCGCACCAACGAGACTGAAAACCAAGTGGCGTCACTTAAAAGAGAGAGAGAAGGTGAGACTGGAGCTGATAATTCACTCTGACATTCATACACGAGGAGGTCCAACAGAACTAAGGCTTTCAAGGTTCAGAGTTTTGATTGTCTGAGGGTCATTTAAGTAAGTTGGGCTCTACAGCATTGTTTCATTATGTTCTTTGTGAGAAATCAAACATACACCTTTGTTTTATTCAGTCGCTGATTTTGCAAATGTGTCTCATTTCCAGTTGGACAAGTGGCTTTCTCCGCCTCTTTATTGGCCTCAGGTGAAAAAACCCTCGGACCATTTAACACTCACACTAATCTGGTGTTCAGATATGTGTTCTCAAACATCGGGAATGCCTACAACCCAAACACAGGTGACTCACATGTTTCACAGATCTGACAGAACAAAGACTTTCCCTCCAAAACATAAATGTGTTTTTGAACTGTTCTGGAATCATACGCTGGGTTTGGAGAGTCCAGACTTCAGCCAAGAGCACTTTTGCGTTGGAACCATGTTTGATTAGATTTAAAAACAAATGTCATACTACACGAGTGGTTAGCACTCTCACCTTTCAGTACGAAGGTCCTGGGCTCCATTGGAGTTTGCATGTTCTCCCCGTGTCTATGTAGCAGTGTAGACTCTGGGGCTATGATTCCTCTGACAAAGACATTCTGAAATCTCAGTGGGACTTTCCTGGTTAAATACATGTGAATAATAAACAGTGATGTAGACTGAGGCCAATGCTGCCTGCAGTTCTTTAGATGTATCTGAGCAGTTTATTCCCTGAACGGTCATCACTGGTCACAGTTTTGTTCATTTGGGGATAAAAGCTGCAATCATGGGTTCATTTTTCATCCGTTAATCTTTTCACATGGGAACTGTATTTTCACAAACATTTACCTCATGATTAGAAACATAAAACCAGATAAATATCAGACGGAGGTAAAAGCTTTTCTATGAAACTGTCTGTGTTTGTTACTAACACTATAATTGTCTCTATCTCCTTCAGGATTCTTCATTGCACCGGTGCGAGGGGCCTATCACTTTGAGTTCTACATCGGGGCTCATGGTGCTTCAGAGGCTTCTGGGGCAACGTTGGTGAAGAATGGAGAACATATTTTTGTGGCTTATGAACATCAGTCAAATGGTTTTGGCAGCTCATCTAACGGAGCCACACTGCTGCTGGAGCCTGGAGATGTTGTGTTTCTGCGTCTTTGGTCCGGTACAAGAATCTATGATAATGAAAATCGCCACAACACTTTCAGTGGTCACCTGCTGTTCTCCATGTGAGACTTTACCTTCAGGTTTTTCATTTAAGGACAGATTGTGTTTTTGTCTGTTTTAGTATAAGACTTTCTTTATTATCTACAGAATCTTAAATCTCAATATTGTTTAAAACTGTCACTTTGAAGTAATCACCAACAGGAACTAAAATATGGTACTATTTAAAATACCAGTCTATACTTGTGTGTTGTGTTGAAATAAAATGTTTTGTACTTTACCTTTTTGTGTGAGATTTACAACACATTATTGACAAACTTCACATTATCTTTGTCAGACTCCACGACTGTAAATAAATGGAAAATGCTAAATCACATTTGGGCGGCACGGTGGCTGAGTGGTTAGCTCTCTCGCCTCTCAGCAAGAAGGTCCTGGGTTCGAATCCCGGTCGGACCAGGGTCTTTCTGGGTGGAGTTTGCATGTTCTCCCTGTGTCTGCGTAGGTTTCCTCCGGGTACTCCGGTTTCCCCTACCTCTAAAAATATGTACAATAGTTCTGGCATGTGCCTCCTGTACTGGCCCCGCTCCCATCTCTGTGTGGAGCGAGAGACAAATGCCCAAAAACAACAATTGTAAACTACTTTGTGACTCTGGTCTGTGAAAGGCGGTATATAAATAATGATTACTTACTTACTCACTAGCTAAATAAAGCCAAGTAGAGAAGTGCTCATGGACAAAGACTGAAGTGCTCTAACTCCTATTCACTTACATGTATCGGTGTACATGGACCGTTGTGGTAAAGAGGGAAGATTTACCGGTCAATCTTCGTTCCCTCCCTCACCTATGGTCATAAGCTTTGGGTAGAGACCAAAAGAACGAGATCGCGGATACAAGTGGTCGAAATGAGCTTCCTCCGCAGAGTGGCTGCTCCCTTAGAGATAGGGTGAGGAGCTCGGTCACACGGGAGGAGCTCGGAGTAGAGCCGCTGCTACTCCACGTCGAGAGGAACCAGTTGAGGTGGCTCGGGCATCTGTTCAGGATGCCTCCTGGACGCCTCCCTGGGGAGGTGTTCCGGGCACGTCCCACCGGGAGGAGGCCCCGGGGAAGACCCAGGACACGCTGGAGGGACTATGTCTCTCAGCTGGCCTGGGAACGCCTTGGGGTCCCCCCGGACGAGCTGGAGGAAGTGTGTGTGGATAGGGAAGTCTGGGCGTCTCTGCTTAGACTGCTGCCCCCGCGACCCGGCAACGGATGAAAAATGAAGAACACATTATTGTTGCTTATGAACATCAACACAGTGGAGCTGGCACGTCTTCAAACGGAGTCACTCTGCTCCTCGAGGCTGACGATGGTGTGTTTCTGCGACTATGGCAAAATACTCGAATCCATGATAGCGAGAATATCCATTGCATATTCAGTGGGCACCTGCTTTTTACCATGTAAGAAATGAAAAGTGTGCACAGGGTTTTATGTATTAGATTATGCTTCACGTCTGTTCCTTTTGTATCCTGTTTGTGTCTTTGAAATAAATACATATTTTCACATCGGCCTGAATTGTGCATAATACACACTCTTTCAAGAAACACTTGACCCTGTTACGGCCACTAACGGGCCGTATATCCTCCTCTCTCAGGGGGAAGCTGTGCTCATTGGTGCGCGTGCGTGACACGCGGAGCCGCGCCTTTAAAGCTCGTGCACATGCCAGAGGTGGTGGTTGGCTCATCCTGCTCCCATCTTGACACCTGCGTATCCCGCCTCCTTTTGTATGGTTTTGGTTTGGTTTGGTTGCTTGGTTCGTTTTGGTTCGTTCGTCTTGGTTCGTTTTGGTTTACTTTCTACACACCATTCAACACTGCAGACATACGCTCATAGCACATACACTAACACGCACTCATTACAGACTTCCACACCTCATTAAAATATTAACGTTGCTTATTAATAAATATTATTTCAATTGGCAACCGTTGTTTGGCGTGTTTCTGTCATTTCTATTGAGCCGGGTTATGACAACCCACAGTATTATACAGAAGTGTTTCACAGACTCGACTCTGCTCGGCCTACCATAGACTGTAGTAGTAAGTCATCTGTATTTATACAGCACCTTTCACAGACCAGAGTCACAAAGCACTTAACAACTGTTGTAGCATTGGTCTCTGACTCCACAGAGAGATGGAGGCAGTGCCGGCGTGGCTAATCGGGAGAGCCGGGAGGTTTCCCGGTGGGCCGGTTGGGCTAAGGGCCGGTGGGCTGGATGTTGTATGTTGCTGGTTGGACTTGGCCGGCGGCCGTGCTTTCCTGACACCGCTGTTCACCGCAGCCTTCTCGGACCTGTCGCTCGCCCGTGCGCACTGCCTCTCTCTCTCTCTCTCTCTCTCTCTCACCCACACACACGCACACACGAGTAAACAGCACACACACTTCTGGCTAGTCTCATTTGGCCGCTTTCATTGGTTACGATGTGTTCTGCAACGGCCTGATTGGTTGTCTGTAGATTGTAGGCGGGACTAACCGAGAGCGCGGGCCATAGATCAGGTTGAATGACAGATAGAACTGAAGCAAGCGCCGTTTCTCACAGACATGACATCTGTCCAACACGAGTGTTTTTAAAATGGAAAGGAACAAAATCAAGGGCGGAGCAGAAAAGATTAGAATAAAAAAAAGGAAAGCTCTTGAAGCTGAAGCAGCCAAATGTGCAAAGTTGGTAGTTTTTTTCTATAAAAAGTGCTCCGTCGATGAAGAGGCATCAGACCGCGGTAAGCTAGCAAAAAAAACATGCAAAACACTGTGGCAAAACATGACGACGTGATTCCCTAAATGATTAGCACTCCGTCATTACATTTATTGCTTCTTGGGTCCTCAGATACAACAATCGTTCATTCATATTAATGAAGAGCCTCAGGAACGGGCAGGTAAAAACCAAAAAGAAGATTGTATTTTTAATCAAATTTGACTAAGCCACTAAGGCCATGAATTTATTTATTTCATAATGTATAATGTATATTGCATAAATTACATTTTTAACTTCTTTGTACATTAGGAAAGTAACAGTTGAATATTTTGTGTGTTTGTCAAAAGATGTGAAGCATTTATGCTCATATCTACAGAAAAGACATCCTTTGTCATTGGATAATGACAATTATCATAAACAAGTCACTTCTACAGAGTTTACTCATGTTTTAATGTGCTTCATTTTGCTATTGTTTATTTGGGTTTGATTGATTTAAATAGTGTGCAGTTTGTGTTTTCTCGTCTTGATAGAGGTTAACATTTAGTTTGCTTTTAGTTCTCCCCTGGGACAACATTAAAGTACGTTAAGATTAATTTTGGTTTTGTATAAAGTTGTACCAAGCACTGTTTTGTCTTAGTGTAGTATTTGCATTAGTCTTTGTTTTTGTTTAGTCTTGAAAGGAGGATGATAGTTTAATGGTTTCGAGTCAATTCAATGTATTATAAAAAAAATATAGCCAAATCTTTGTGAATGACAATTATTTTAATGAAAATTGACATTGTTCTAAAATTTGTGAAATTCATGCTTTTTATATCCACATAAGTCTAGGGTCAGTCTAAAATTTGCTACAATTCATATTGTATACCAGAATATTCAAATATCATGATTTATTCAAATGCATTATTGAGTTATTTTGTGACTAGCACTGAGAAGTCTAAAGGAGTGAACGAAGAATAATTTTAATACCATTAGTCTTGTAATTTACAAAACTTGATTTTAGGCCACCTGCTGGTTGTTATGGATATTACAACAGCAGGCAGTTCAGTTTTTTTTTTTGATAGACTACTTTATCAGAAGGGCCGGTCTGACCCAGAATTCCCGGGTCAGACCAGAGTTCGCCAGTACCATAGATATATATATTTATTATATGACTTGGATCGTGCGCTCTGATTGGCTGATTTGCGGTGTGATATTATCCCATCTCGGACCGTTACCATGACAATTGGTCCGCAGCACGTATCAAATTTGATATCTTTCCTCGGTAAAAACTAAATAATGAGTGAATTCTATTCTCCGGACGAGTTCGAAGAGCCAATAACAGCAAATAACGACAAAAACACAACTCCTGACTGTCAAGAAGAGATTGACAACTTGGTTACAGACCAGAAAGGTAAAAACAGGATTAGGAGCATACTTCACAAATATGTAAAAAGCATTGGTAAAGACACAGACTGAGAACTTACAGTGGGCGCCTCAATCCTCTGATCAGTTCTTCATGTCACAGTTTGACACTTTGGCTGCATGTGTTTTTGCCAGTTGAACCCGATCAATATTTGTATAAATTAAAAATAGTTATGTAATAAAACATGTATCAACCTCGTTTGCTCGGTCCGTACAGAGAAATATCAGACATCACTCTGTACATACCACGCGCTCATTTGATAAGCCTTTAATAAAGAGTAGACGCCACATTAGCAACTGAGGAACGAGAAATGCGGCTGCCATCTTGGACCATGATCCTACAGCGCGATGCCGGAGCACTGTGCGGCGTATGGCTGTTAATGAAGGCGGAATATTCAAAACAGGGCTCAGGGATTACTTTCCACTTTTTACCTGCGCCGTAGACACTAGAGGAGGCGGCCTGTTCGTAACAGCACTGCCCCTCGTTCTGTGATTGGAGGAGAGCGAGCGTCACTAAGTCTCTACTCTGCACTTGTTACGGTCTGAATTCAATCAATGAGCTCAAGTTTTCAATTAAATTTGGGCTTTTAATACAACTTGTATGTGGTAATATGCATTATTATGAACACATTAGAAAATAAATCGGGTATAGCTCCTTTAATCCACATGTTTGGCCCATTTTCCTCAATAAAACTGATAAAACCCCTTCTCTTCTCTTTGGCCACTAGAGGGAGTGGTGGAGCAGATGTGAAGCTTCCACACCTGTATCCACACCATTCATTCTGCCTTTAACGTTTCTACTTCATGTTAAGGATCAGAGTGAGACTCGAGTGGAAATCATGACTTTATCTGGAAGAAAACAGACTGAAGAAGAGATGAACTAATGTTAAATCTCTTCATTTAAAGCTGCGGTTCTAAACTGTGTCAGAAAATCCATAGTT